CTGAGGTACTAAAGAGTGATTTTCAGAGTTTTCTGAGTGGATTTAAGCTTGAGGAAACAGCTGGAGCACAGTTCTTGAAAGGGGTCTTCAAGGGTAAGAACTTTGCTCTTTATTCCCCATTTTTGCATAGGCTTTTAGCCATCCTTGCATCTGTTTTTAAGCTTAACTTATAACATATAAAAGTTCTGATTTTAAGTGCTTAAAATAGTTGTTTGAGGTTGCTTTGGTGTTTGGGGTTGTTTGACCCCTCTTAGGCCTTGTTTGGCCCCCATTTTGTGCTATTTTGGTGAGCTCCGGGACCACCTTATTTGGGCCTCCTCACCATTGAAATCCAGAGGGATTTCAGTGGTGGGGATGTTGCTTTAAGGTCCTAAGAAGGAGAGGGTCATCCCCTCTCCTTGTTGCCTTCAATGTTGGCCATTTTAGCCTCATGCGTGAGCATCTTGTTTAAGTGCATGTTGGCCATGTCTTAAGTGTTATTTGTGCTTATTTTGCCATGATTTAGCACTTTTTTTAGTTGGTTTAGACACACCATGCTTTCCTTGCATACTTGTCTTGTAATGCCATTATTTGCCTTAACATGTACTTAGCATCTAGACCACTATGCTTATTTGTTTTGGCTTAGCTTTGTGAAGCTTTTATACATGTTTTGATGTGCTTGAGGTCTGATTTTGGTCGTTCGAGCCATCCGTGACATGCTTTGTATAGCCACCTTGCATTTTCGCTTGTTAGCCTTGGGTATGTGAGTGTTGAGCATGCATTGCTTGGCTTGTTTCAGTGGTTTGGCACCACTTATAGCATCATTTCAGTCCTTGTGGTATGCTTGTATGCTTGCATTTGATGTTCCTTTAAGGCCTTAAAGAGTTTGTGTTTCATGCTCCATGAATGTGTCATTGCGTATGCCATCATGTTTAGGCCTCTAGGATGCCATGTCAATGTGTTTTTTTGGCTTTGTTTTAACATGCTAAAACTCTGATTTTGGTTGTTCAAATCATGTCATGTTTGGTTTTGCTAAGTGTAGTTCAATACCTCTTTGGTGAGCCTTAAGCTTTGGGCTTGCTTGCATGCCTTACTTGCATGGTTTGTTTGGTTTGGCACCATTTCTAGCATGTTTTCAGAGTTTAACATGTTGGTTATATATCCATGTTTGCCCCTTTTAAGTGTGCTTAAAAGTCCCTCTTTTGTGCCTTAGTCTTTAGCCTAACTTGCATGCATGTTTGTATGTATTTTAGACTTCATGTTCTTGGCATTTGGCCACTGTTTTGGGCCTAGTAAAGAGCTGTCCATCTTGGTGTAAGTCCATCAATCGCATGTTGTTGCATGCTCGCCTTGTGTGTTGTTGCATACTTGGTCTATCGTATGTGTTGCATGCTTGAATCGCATTGCATTTGGCATGCATCATTCCTTTTGTCTTGGTTGCTTAACATGTAATATGTCTTGCACATTTGCATGTTGGCATTGCATCTTGCATGCTTGCATTGCATCTTGCATGCTTGTTAGCTTGCATATGTTGTTACATGCCTCGTATGCTTGTTTGCTTAGGTTGTGTGCCTAACATACATTGCTTGTGCCTATGCTCATATTGCATACTTAGCTCGCATGCTTAGGTTGCATTTGGCATGCATGCCTTGCCTCTTGAATTGATTATGATAAAGGTTGGGCCTTATGTGTTTGTGTGCATTACATTTGACATCAAAATGCACAACTTGACTCATTTGGCCATCACGCATTGAAATGCGCGATTGGTGGTCCGAGGGTCAAGGACCATCCTCCTTGGAGTCATGAACATGATAAGGAGGGTGTTGGTGCACACATTTGCTTGAAATGCATTGCCATGCCATGTTTGCCCTCTGCTGCTGTCAAAACAGGATTCTACAGAAATGGATGGTCGGTCGACTGCCTAAAGTGCCGACCGACCAATAATATTTGGTCGAGAGCTGAATATTTGGTCGATGACCAATTCCCTATGGTCGGTGGTGTTCCCCCTTAGCCAGTGACATCCCACAACCCTCAGGGAGTGATGCTGAAACATTCTTGGGATTTGTGTAAGTCTCAGAGGAGAAAAACAGGGAAAACAGAGGCAGCTTGTGCATGGCGGCAGATTTCCGGGCAAAGCCAATCCGAGCATGTGTGCATCCCTCTTCCCGAGGCCTTTTACTACTTTCAGTAGCTTAATTGATTCGTTAATTGGTTAAGTGTTGTATAAATTAATTAATTAGCTTGTAGGTTAATTAATTTGTATTATTCATTCGGTCCCTCCGAGCGAGGGCGAATTTGTAATAAGTGTGAGTGCGTGTGTGCATGTCTTCCAAACCCCACTTCTTTCTCCCTTTTACTTACCTGCTTTTGATGGTTAGTATTAGGACATATTTAATTTAGCATCCTTATGCTATGCATGCGTGCATCCATTCATTTGTATTGCATGCATCGGGCTTGGCGCATCATACTAACTGCATAGTATTTCAAATCCAACTTGCATACGTGTTACTTGTTGCATTCCACATGCCACTCTTAGATTAGCCGAGCCTATTCTAGATTGCATCTTGTATGCGATGCATTAGCCATTTAACATGGACTTGGATCATACATTTGATTGCTAAAATGTTCATTGTTTTGGCTTGGAGTACACTGTAAGTGTTTTATGCTTTAGCATCTCGCATGAGTGTGAATGTTAACATGACAACATACTTACCATGTGGCTATATGCTTATGTGATATATCTGCCTGAATGCCTGTGGGTGAAGGTTGGATTGTTTGAGTTGGAACAACTCCTTGAAATCCGTGTTTTAGCCTACTTGCGAGTAGCAAATTTCAAACCGATTTCCAAACAAACGGATATGCGATGCTTTGTTCCAAATTAGGCGATCTAGTCTATACTTTTGTGTTGTGCGCATCACATAGTAAGATTAGATAATTAACCGGAATAAGAGCACATAATGTTTTCAAAACTCGATATCATGGTTAGTAGAGGCCGATCTTTGATAGGGGGAGCGAGGGTGCTCACGAAGTGACCTTCCCCAATCGTACCCAAGTTCCGGAGCCGAGGCAACTTTGGTGAAGATGAACACGTGGCCTTAGGCAACGAGTCAGGGTTTCCTAAATTTCCAAAAAATGAAACATTTAGGTGGCGACTCTGTATCTGGCAAAGCAGTCCATGTTTGGCACTTCTTTCTAAAAATTAGTTTTTCAAAACGATTTGCCGGATTTTGACTCTTTGATGATTCATCGGTCTTGCATTGCACTCTGTGAGATTAGATATAGGACCGTGACATTGAGTTCTGAACTGTAGTAAACCCACCAACGAACAGAACAGGATTCCCTCCTGGGACGTTCGGGGACGTCTACAGTTGGGCCTTGACACGCCTCTTCTCCGCGGTAGGCTGGGACTTGTCACTCTCAGCCAGTTTTGAGATCGGCAAAGTGTCCTCAGTGTCAACTTGAGTCACCTTGGCCTTTGGTTGAGCCTTTTTAATTCTTTTTTGTTTTGGTGGAGGCTGGGTTTGCGCTGGTGGAGCGTCAACGGTTGATGGGATGCTGGCCAGGAGATCTTTGGCAACAGCTTTTTGGCGGCCCATTTCAGCAGCAAAAATAGTTCGTCGCCGACGTTGACGCTGAGATATTGGGATCAGATAAGGAGCCGAGGTTGACGGCTGCTCAGCTGGATCAGAGGTTGATCCTTGGTCTGTCCGAGATGTGGACGCGACTTGTGGAGTTATGGCAGAAGGTGGAGAAAGACTTTTCTTCTTCTTTTTTGGGACATCGAGAAGAGCCAACTTATACGTGGGGATGAAGTTGAGAAGCAGAGGGGCCTTCCGCTTGTGGACTGGCAAATTCAGTAGTTTCTTCAAGTCTTTGCTGGGAAAGAAAGACTAACAGAAGCCCTTTGGTGGCTGAGGGAGAAAAAAGCGTAGACATTAGAGCAGAATGTTGAAAACTTTATGCAAGAAAGCAAGAAAATTTGTGAAGGGTGGCCCTTACCAGCTCCTTCCCCGAAAACTGTTTGACTCAGGGGATAAAGATGGAGGTCATCGTTTGGCTGAAACTCCCAATTACCCAAAACGATGAAGTAATCATCCCCCGCTCCCTTGTTGGAGTCAGGGAGGTCGGCAACAATTTTGTATTCTGTAGACCTCGGCTTGAGGTAATAGATGTGGCCTTTTTCTAATTTCAGGCGACACATGGTATAACAGAACTGGAAGTCGGCAAGAGTAATCCTAGCATTCTCTTGTTTGGCTAAGGCTATGGTACCATTAATAACTCGGTACGAATTGATTGCAAGTTGCATTGGGTTCAACCTATAGAAGTGGAGGATTTCACGGAAGAAAGGGTCGAGTAGAAACCTAAGTCCACACTCAATAAACGCTACTACTTGGAAAGGCATGAGGTTTACATCGGGCATGATAGAGTCGTCATCCCAGCCAACCTCAGATGGACGTCGACAGGAATGGAAAACTCTCGCCTGAAGTATTCTAATTTTGTCGGGGTGTCTACCCTATGCTTCCACATACCCATGATATCGACTTAACTCAAGGGGTTGGATTTCAGAAAGGTGTTTTAAAAGGGTTATTGGGACCTCGACAAAAATCAAAATTATGTGCTGGCTAAGAATTTGAGGAAGTAGTTCCAGTTTTTCCTAAAAATCAAGGGTTCTACAAACAAATCCCAAACCTAAACAAATGGAGCAAGACTGGAGGCAGAAATTTGGAAAAGACACAGAAAACAAAAAATAAGAACGTGTTTCAGAATCAAGAACAAGGGTGAACTACCAAGAACATTGTGACAGAGTGTGTGAAAGGGTACAAGGTCAAGAACAGTTGCAAAATTGCAGAAAAATTGTGAGCAGTGCGAGTATTCAAGACATGGGCAAATGGCAAAATCATGAAATAAACACATTCAGATGCATGATTCATAAATCAAATGTTTGAGTAAAACAACAATGGCGACTGATGATAAAGTAAAATTTCTTGGAGCGTAACAAGAACTAAAAACCAGAAGGAACGATGACTTACCAGAGGGAAAAAGCCGATGTTGAGATCGCCGAAGTCAGGCAAACGGCGGTAGAGGAAAAAGAGCCTCGCCGGAAGAGGTGAAACAGCGGTGGCAGCAGAGCTTCAGAACTTGGAACAATGGAAGATTAGAGAAGGCAAGACTGAGAAAGAGTTTGAATAGAGACGATGTAAAGTGAAAAGACGAAAGGGGGAAAATTTTTGTTAAAAACCTAAAACGGCGGCAACACAGAATTGATGAGCCTAGAAAAATGGATTTGTCAGACGGCGCACGCAGGCGTAAGACGACTTATAAGCACGTAACAAGTACGATCCAGTGAGGGGAAGGCACATGGCTTAAACGGTTGAGTTGTTATGTATAACAGGTCATACGCGTGAAGAAGCCCATGGGATTCTTAATCTTTGTAAAGACATATCGGCCTATGATGATGATCTCGGCTTAAGCCGATGTACTGGCAGGAAGTACCGATATAGGTTTCATCACCTCAGAATGCCGCGGTAATAGAACCTAGGGGGCAGTTGTGGGGATATATTTTCTGAGTCCCAACACGTGGCCAAGGTGATGCCGACGTGTCAGCCGAGGTGCCACGTGTCTAGGTTATGACGCCGAGGTTATCTCGGTTAGGCTGAGGTTATCTCCGAAGATATCTGAATCCGAGATAAGCGGATAAGGCACATCGGCAAGGCCGAGGTTATCTCCGAAGATATCGGAATCCGAGATAAGCGGATAAGGGACAAGAGTCCTAGAATGACGAAGGACTTTAGCATGGATAAGGATAACACTCTTAGGGAGTTTATCTTTATCTCTTAGAGAGTCCAGGATAAGCACTGAGCAAGAGTCCATTGAAGCTAGGCTTCTGTTGGGACAAGGATTGAGTTAACTATAAAAGAGAGGCACCCCCGTGGGTTTAAGATACGCAATTTATATTCTGAACAATGAATTTAGCACTATTGATTATCCTTGAGAGATATACTGACTTGATCGTCAGAGTGCCCCCGGGTGGACGAACCACCGCCGGAATCTTCTCTTTCTGTTGCAGGTCAGCCAGGTGTCATCTATTCTGCCAGTACTTTCCAGCTGATTACTGAGTTGGGCAGTGTGATCGAAAAATCACTCACACACTTGGAAAGGCCCATATTTACATCGTCTTTTGTCACAAAATCTGAACTAGAATGCATAATATTTTGCATGTGTTTGGGAAGTGGATTTTTTTGTAGTTTTTTTTAATTGTAGGAGATTATTGAAAAATTTTTTTTTTGTGTTTGAGAAGATAGTTGGATTTTTTTGTTGTTGGATGTGATGTTTGTGAGAGAAAAAATAAAATGATTATGAGGTTTGATAAGATATTTTGTTTGGATTTATTTTTTTTTTGGATTTTGTAATCAATTTGTCTTTTAGTGAAAAAAAAAAAAAAAAAAAAAAAAACAAAAAACAAAAAAATTTCTTCCCAAACAGCACTTATTCCCAATTTATGTAGTCCCAATTTATGTAGTCCTATCTCACTCCCCATTTGCAAATAAAACATTAATTTTATACTTGAAAGCATACAAATGAACCGGGACAGTGTTTGATTGGGTAGATTACAATATAAAATAATACATAAATCATTACTGGGTAAAATACAAAATGAATTTTTAAGATTTGTTTAAAATAGTTGTTCCTTTTGATTTTAAAAATTACAACCCATTATTTTAAAATTTTAATTGCATAACAACGAACTCATTTCATTAATTAATTATAAAGTGAATTAGCAGCTTTTAATGATGTCATAAATATATTTTAATTATCAATTTTGATAATTTTATTATTGTATAGAAAGATTGTTACGAATTTAATTTTGTGTTAATTTTGTTAAAAGACAAATGCTGACAATAGAATAATTGTAATTTTAGATTCGATTCGTATTTTAAGCAAACATTAAGGGATGTATTTGTAATTTATCCATGATTAATTTATAAGACTCACATTCCAATGTTTTATTACAAATTTTTGTTGTCCGAATTTGATTTTATCAAATAAAATTGATGAATTTTTAATCCTACTACTAATAATGCAAAATAAACATATACATGGGATTATATATTTCAATATCCATTGCAAAATAAATGTGTACAAAAAGCGATAATTTTTCTCATTAGTCCAGTTGGATAATCAATTCTACAGTAATTTCATCAATTGTTAATTATTTCACTATTAATCCTACTAATTAAACATGGCCTAAGAACCATCTTTTAATTATAACAATTAAGTCCTCAAAATTCGACTAATATTTCAATGTGATCCTCTCGTCACTTACCGTTAAATTTTTAGGTGAAAAATATACTCACATGAACACATTTTATGGGTATTAATTAGAGAAAATATTTGGATAATAAATTACAATTTTCTCTCTCAAACTTCCATCAAAATTTTACTTTGGTTCATTATTTTCAACTTTGATTAAAATTTCAAACAGAAGAGTGATGGAATGATCACATTGAAACACTGATTAAAATTTGACAACTTAGTTGCAATTAGAAAATGAGAAACTAACGTGAAATTTGAGTAAAAGTTGAAGGGTGAAAGTATAATTTATCCCTCTTTTTTTTTTTTTTTTTAAATAATCAATGATCACAGTGTTAAAACTTGCAAAACCTACTTAATCTCAAATTTTAACAGAATAAACCTTTTACGAACATAACAAATTACATAGTTACAAACAGAAAGGTAAATTTCATGTGGAACAATAAGGTCATTTTATGCTTAGCCCAATTGAATATGACAGAAGAAAATGAGGGCTTGTTTGTAGGACAATGAGGTGGATTAATTACTTCGCATTGTTTTGGTTGTAAATTTTATTATTCAGTTTATACTTTATTGATCATTCTATCTAATAAAATTGACATATTTTTTAATACTATAACTAATAACACAAAGCATACATACAATTAAAATTATATGCTTCTATATATATTGCAAAACAAACATGTACAAGAAAGAATTATGTATCTCACTAATTTAACTAGACAACAAATTCTACACTAATTTTATAAATTGTTAATCTTCTCACTATTAAGTACTAGATTTGGACAAATTATATAGGTAATATTTGACAAAATTACATTTGTAGAGATGATTAATTATTAATGAGTCTGATTTTGTTTACATACTTTCAAAATTACATTTGTAGAGATGATTAATTATTAATGAGTCTGATTTTGTTTACATACTTTCAAAGTCTGTAAACAATATATAGATTGTGATTGGTTCTGAATAGTGAGTTCTATATCTAAAAGTCTACTGACCCCAACCAAAATTATGGGCTCTACTATTTTAAACTAATCACAATATGTGTATTATTCACACAATTTAAATAATCAACAAATTCATTTTCATTTTTAATGAAGACAAAACCATAATTAAAGGAGGTTCACTTACTTGTTTGTAGTTAACCATGGCTGCCACTTGTCTCTCCACTATCTTCACTCTTCAGCTGCATATATGCATGCACTAGCATACAATAATTCAAGACAGTAATAAGAGCCAAAACAATAAGGTCAAATAAGGTTCATATTTGTACCATTACAAAAATGGAAAATACTATGCAATTAGAATTTTTATACAAAATTTTATAGTCCTGTTGAAACTAATAGAAGTAAAATACCCGCACTTCCATGTTTAATAGAAGGCCAGCACCTACCCAAGCTACTAGTCAAAGAGCTTACCACGGCAGAATCAACCAAGTTATTAATAGTTACTTTATTTGAAGATAATTATTAAGAAATTAATATAAACAAATGATACATTGCCATGTATCTAGGCTGATGATATAAAAATGTGAAAAAAGGAACAAGTAATATGCAGTGATCCTTATTTTAAAAAGTTACTAGTAATTCACACAATCTTTAAGAAAATGCTAATATGTACCCACCTTTTTGTCATAACAAAATTATGATTTCTACAGTAAAAGTCACATAATTTGTGGTGAGTGTCTTATGTTATTTTGTCTAAAAATTATGAATCAACAAATTCATTTTGTCATTTTATCAATGAAGACTGACTAGTCAAAGTCAGTTTACTTGTTTGTAGGCTTTGCATTGCACCTACATTTGCCTATAAAGCATTTGGCCTGTCCCCTGTTAATAGTCAGCAAGCATTACACCCTTTGTTTTTGAATCTAGAAGCAAAGATGGTCTCCAACAATCAACTCTTTCACCTCTTTTTGTTTCTTTGTTTTTTCCAGATTATTTGTTTGCATGCCCAACTCTGCACTCAACAACAGACCTCTGCATTGCTCCAATTTAAGCAACAATTTTCCTTCCATAAATCTGCTTCCGATGTCTGTGATTATGTCTGTGATTATGTCTCTGATTACTTCTGTGAGTTTGTCGGAATCCGTTCTTACCCGAAGATGGAGTCGTGGAAGGAGGGTTCTGATTGTTGCTCATGGGATGGAGTCGAGTGTGACAACAACACAAGTCAAGTAATTGGCCTCGACCTCAGTTGCAGCTGGCTCCTAGGCACCATCCACCCCAATACCACCATCTTCTACTACTTTCCTCACCTCCAAAGCCTCAACCTTGCTTTCAATTACTTTGGTATGTCTCCAATCTCATCTGAATTTAGTCGATTCACCAGATTGACACACCTCAACCTCTCATTGTCTAGTTTTTCTGGGAAAGTCCCTATAGAAGTCTCCTTTCTGAGCAAATTGGTCTCGCTTGATCTCTCTTACAATTATGGTTTGAGGTTGGAAGAACCTGGATTTGAATTACTTGTTCAAAACTTAACCAAGGTAAGAGAACTTAATCTTCGAGATGTATACATATCTTCAGTGGTTTTGAACTCCTTGCTCAATCTGACTTCTTTAACACTTCTCGATCTTACTGCGTGTGAATTGCTTGGAAAATTTCCTGACGGAATATTCCATTTACCACATCTGAATGAGCTGAGTATATGGGATAATTCTGCTGTCACTGGTTATTTTCCCGAGTTTATAAACTCGAACAGTCCTCTCCAGTACTTGGTCCTTTCATCCACCAATTTCTCTGGAGAACTACCGGACTCAATTGGGAATTTGAAGTCCTTGAAAATGTTGGCTGCCTTTGATTGTGAATTTTATGGATCCATCCCTACGTCACTCGGAAAAGGACGGAAACAAGGCATAAACCACAACTGACATCCATGGAACCAAGTTCGGATACAACAACCAAAGGAGGAAGAACCGAGATCGCTATAAATCCTAAACTACGAGGACTATTAGTGTAATCCGTCCTAATTTTTTTTCAAAATTATGTAAAAAAAATTTCATTTTTCGGACTGTCTTGTATAGACTAATCTAAAAAATAATTTTTTTTGAAAAATTCTAAAATACTGAAAAAATCCTGAATAAGTCAAAAAGTCTTTTTTTTTAGATTTTATTTTTGTCTTTTTAAAATTTTTTAAAATTATTTTTAAATTTTGTGATCGATCCCATCAAGTTAAATTTTTTAAAAACTTTTTGTCTTCCTTGATGAGTGAAAAACACGT